TCACTAATCAAACTCCTCACCTCACTAATCAAACTCCTCACCTCACTCAAACTCCTCACCTCACTAATCAAACTCCTCACTCCTAAAACTCCTCACCTCACTAATCAAACTCCTCACCTCACTAATCAAACTCCTCACCTCACTCAAACTCCTCACCTCACTAATCAAACTCCTCACCTCACTAATCAAACTCCTCACATCACTAATCAAACTCCTCACCTCACTAATCAAACTCCTCACTTCACTAATCAAACTTCTCACCTCACTAATCAAAGTCCTCACCTCACTAATCAAACTCCTCACCTCACTCCTAAAACTCCTCACTTCACTCAAACTCCTCACCTCACTAATCAAACTCCTCACCTCACTAATCAAACTCCTCACCTCACTAAGCAAACTCCTCACCTCACTAATCAAACTCCTCACTTCACTCAAAGTCCTCACCTCACGAATCAAACTCCTCACCTCACTAATCAAACTCCTCACCTCACTCCTAAAACTCCTCACTCCTAAAACTCCTCACCTCACTAATCAAACTCCTCACCTCACTAATCAAACTCCTCACCTCACTCAAACTCCTCACCTCACTAATCAAACTCCTCACTCCTAAAACTCCTCACCTCACTAATCAAACTCCTCACCTCACTAATCAAACTCCTCACCTCACTCAAACTCTTCACCTCACTAATCAAACTCCTCACCTCACTAATCAAACTCCTCACATCACTAATCAAACTCCTCACCTCACTAATCAAACTCCTCACTTCACTCAAACTCCTCACCTCACTAATCAAACTCCTCACATCACTAATCAAACTCACCTCACTCCTAAAACTCCTCACTTCACTCAAACTCCTCACATCACTAATCAAACTCCTCACATCACTAATCAAACTCCTCACATCACTAATCAAACTCCTCACATCACTAATCAAACTCCTCACATCACTAATCAAACTCCTCACCTCACTAATCAAAATCCTCACTTCACTCAAACTCCTCACCTCACTAATCAAACTCCTCACATCACTAATCAAACTCACCTCACTCCTAAAACTCCTCACTTCACTCAAACTCCTCACATCACTAATCAAACTCCTCACCTCACTAATCAAACTCCTCACATCACTGATCAAACTCCTCACATCACTAATCAAACTCCTCACATCACTAATCAAACTCCTCACCTCACTAATCAAACTCCTCACTTCACTGATCAAACTCCTCACATCACTGATCAAACTCCTCACATCACTAATCAAACTCCTCACATCACTAATCAAACTCCTCACATCACTGATCAAACTCCTCACATCACTAATCAAACTCCTCACATCACTGATCAAACTCCTCACATCACTGATCAAACTCCTCACATCACTGATCAAACTCCTCACATCACTAATCAAACTCCTCACATCACTAATCAAACTCCTCACATCACTGATCAAACTCCTCACATCACTAATCAAACTCCTCACCTCACTAATCAAACTCCTCACCTCACTAATCAAACTCCTCACTTCACTGATCAAACTCCTCACATCACTGATCAAACTCCTCACATCACTAATCAAACTCCTCACATCACTAATCAAACTCCTCACATCACTGATCAAACTCCTCACATCACTAATCAAACTCCTCACATCACTGATCAAACTCCTCACATCACTGATCAAACTCCTCACATCACTAATCAAACTCCTCACATCACTAATCAAACTCCTCACATCACTGATCAAACTCCTCACATCACTGATCAAACTCCTCACATCATTAATCAAACTCCTCACATCACTAATCAATCTCCTCACCTCACTCCTAAAACTCCTCACTTCACTCGCCTCACTCAACAGCTTCTGCCCGGCGCGAGGCCCCCCACACCGCCCCCGTGACCCCCCCCCCCGTGACCTCCTTCCGTGACCCCCCTCCGCCCCCCGTGACCTCCTCCCGCCCCCCTCCGCCCCCCGTGACCACCCCCGCCCTCCCCCACGCCCCCCGTTCCCCCTCCCACGCCCAACCGCCACGCCCCCCCACGCGCCCCCCGCCCCCCAAGACGAATCCCCCTCGCGCTCCCGCCTACTCCTTCCCCACCGGCACGTGACAGCCCCTCCCCCCATCACGAGACCCGCCCCCCGCCAACTCCCCCACTCCGTCACCGCCTCCTTCACCCAACCACCCCCCCCTCCCCCACCCGTGGGCACGTGACTGCCCCTCCCACCCAGCAGTAGAGGACTGTACATATACAGTACTGCATATGATCTGCAGGTGGAGTGTGGTGGGGTAAAGTGTGGGAAGCTTCTGAGATGTCTGGCTCGCGTCGAAGGGACCGTACATAAATGACGTCACGCACCTAGGTGGGGGGGGGGGGGGGTCAGACATTTGTGACCATGGGGGGGGGGGTGTTTGAGAAATGTGACGTCACATCAAAATGCGCAACTTTAAATAAATATAGACAACACGTTCTACTTAATTAAATAGACTTTTTAATAAATGTTTTCTCCTACAACATCAGAGTGCAGCGCCACATTAAATACGCACTTCAATGACAATAGTTTACAGCGATTTGAAGCATGTCTTATATTTTTTTGGGGGGGGTGGGGGCAGAGCTTTGTGACGTCATATTTGTGGGTGGCGTCTGACTTTTTGTGACGTCGTGTGACGAGGGGGGGAGGTAAGACATCGTGAAAAATCGCGTGACGTCATTTATGGACGCCCCGAAGGAGTTGACCGAACATCCTCTTGAGTGCTCCCTCCGGTTGAGACCCTGACGCCGGCTTGCGGTGGTAAGCGAGCGCTTGCAAGAATGCGCCTTTACATGTTATTGCCGCCCGGAGCGGTGAATAACGTTGATCACTTGCTACATCGCTTAATGCCTCAGCTGTTCCAAGCGCCTTCCTTTCACATCTCATCTCAAACAATTTGAAGGGGTGCCCCCCCCCCCTACCCTATGCGGCAAAATGTGACTCGGCACTGACCTGCGAGTGCGCATTCGTCTGCCAATATCGGGAAATAATTGCAAATTTGCGGTGTAATTTTTGTTTTTAATTTGTTCCGAGGCGCCGAGACACAATGTCCTACTCTTCTTCGGATGACGTCTCGGGATGATTAACACCCGCTGTGAGCTAAGCACACGGGCTGCGTCGTAGTATACCGTAAGATTACTGCCAGAACGCATCGCGGTATTAAACAGGGAGGCCTTTGCGATTCGACCCGCAAAAACACAACCGCAGCGACCACGACACCGCCCCCACAGGTGGAATCGAGACCCCTGGGTTTCGGTGTTCCGAACCCCAGAGACACCGGGATTCACTGTGTGATCGCCTCTCACTCTTCGTCTCCCCGTGACCTCTCTCGTCTCGCCGGGTTGCTGGTGGCCGTGGACATGCGGGCACGTTGTTCCTCTAACCCAGCGCTGCGGAGGCAGCGAGCGTTGCTGGATCGCACAAACGTCTTGAAACTCTCTTCCCGTGGGAGTCGACGAAGCGCCATACCGTGGCTGGCAAGGTGAAGGCGGTACAGAAAAGTGAGGACGAATCTCCATCTGTCCCATCTGTATGGGATAAGAGCGTTGTTGCCCCACGCGCTCCGGTTTCCTCCCACCCATGTATAAAACACTCATCAATTGGCTGAAAACATGTTCATATATAGAGGACCGTAGAGCTTGGGCAATTGTTGGTAGCGCCAGTGGCTCACCGCATGGATGCTGCTTTCTTCCCGCTCGTCTGTGGTTCCTCTTCGGCGAGCGTGAATTTGTGGTTCCTCTTCGGCGAGCGTGAGAGACGCAATTCGCGTGAACGTTGACGCGCGATGTTAAACTGAACATTTATCGGAGCGCGTCCCGGCCACCACCGACACTCGCTAAGGCAAAGGTCCCCCGTGTAGCCTTTAACGGACTGTTGGGGCAAGTCCTGTTCGCGCCGCCGGCACGGCACATGGGGCGGTGGGCGACCCACCAGCACCACGCCCGGCCCCCCGTGTCTCCCCAATAGCGATGTTTACACATCGCACCCAGTTACTCATTTAAGGATGAGTCGACCCAGGGGAGGCCCAGGGCCGTTGCAGATAATTATAATCGTCACTGGTGAACGGGAATGGAACTTGGGTTACCACGTACGCAGTGCAGCGCGCTCAGCACTGCGCATTTCACACGACCACGCACTATATTGCTCTATCTCTCAGGCAGCCATACCCCCCCTCCACCCCGTGACGTCGGGTGCCCCCCACGGCCCCCCACTCGCGTTATGCTCCAAGGTGACTCTGCTCACCGCTTCCCCCCTACCCTCCAATCACCCCCGCCCCAACAATCACCAATAACGAAGATTCATTACAGAGTGGCAGCAGGGAGAGACGCGGGAACGGGGAGGGGGGACGGACAGATGGGGGTGGGGTGTGTAGTCACCCCCCACACCTCCCATGGCGCGAGGTTCCTGATTGAAAGCACCCCAGGCTCAGACAGAGCGCCCCCCCCCCCCCCCCGCGGGGAGACAGTCCCAAGTCACCCCCACCACACCCACCTTTGTCTTTCCCGGCACAATACTGATCATAGCCTAACCGCCGAGACGACAAATCCAAGGGCAGTGTCAGCAAACGGATAAAGGCGCAGCCCCGGCATATCTGGCTCATGACACTGCTGGCGGAAAGGGCCTACCACTGGAGGGAGATCTAGAGTGTGTATTTGGCCTACTCTTCCACGCTGAACACACGCGTTGGAAGAGGTCGGAGCACGCAATTGAATCCTTAGTGTCGCCACTGCCAGCTTTAACTGATCTATGAAGCCAAGCAATGAGCTATGAACCCACGCCGGCTTGCGCTCGATTCCCGCCTCACAAATTTGAAAACGTCACACCGCGAACGACTCAATTGGGTGAACACACAAAGCGATCATCGCCCGCCCCCTGCTGTGAGAACTTGGCAGGATCCTCCTGACAAGAATCTCTCGAGACTCGATTGAGCCTTTCCTGCGCGCACCAGCGTAATGAGCAGAAGTGGCTTACGCTGCGCGTGGCCTGTAACTCCAAGCGCTGTGAAGGCGAGGGTTGATGGGTCGCACCGATGTTGTGAAACTTCCTTCCCTTGTGCGTCGAGGAGGTGCCAAGAAGACGGCAGTACAGCAAGTAGAATCATCGCCATCTGTTTATTCCATCTGTACGGGGATAGCGTGTTGCCCCTCGTGCAAGGCGTCGGGTTTCTCCGGATGCTCCGGTTTTTATCCCACGTGTATAATAATACACACTCATGAATTGACTAAAAACATCTTAAAATAAAAACCCAATGCCACATGACGCTACGACTCAGTAGTGGTTTCTAGATAATGTCAATTTTAAAGAAATAAAAACAAATCACCCCCAGGACCAGCACGGCGTGTGGATACCCTCGTCGAACAGTGGATAGAGCACGCGGGCTGTGCGTGTTCTACACACGCGGGCAGAGTCAATGAGTGACGGAGGAGGTGGTGGCGCGGCTGTGTGGCCTGTGAAGAGTGGGGGGGGGGGGGTCTCCACGCCACCACGTGGTCCCCCCCTCCCCCCTCCTGTCATTACACGCGTGAGCGGCCAGCGTATCAAACACGTCGGTCAATACCACCCTGGGTGGCCTTAAAATATGAGAAACAATATATAATAGGCGACGTTCCGCGCAATGGCCCTTTCGCAGCACAAAGAGAGGCCATCTAGGTGCTTTTTATTATGGTGATTCCGCTCGTTTACCCAGGAAAGTCTCACCGACTCTCAAGACTCTTCTTCAGGAGCGTCCTGTCGAGTTTTGCCAATTGTGCGATCGGGTAGCAGTTAGCGCACTGCGCTACGAACCCGGCGACCCCCGAGTTCGTATTCCCGCTCACGGTCAACACCAGTGACGATTATCTGAACTGGTCCTGGGCCTCCCCTAGGTCAACTCAGCCGCAATTGAGTACCTGGTGGGGTGTGTAAATATTGTCACTAGGGAGATAAAGGCGGCCGGGCGTGGTGCTGGCCACTCACCCCCTCGTGTGTCGTGCCGGCCTTCATAGGTGCTCTCTAACAGCACTTGCCCCAACAGTCTGTTACAGGCTGTACGGGGGACCTTTTTTCGCACCGTACATAGCCAACCGTGCTCATTAAGTAATTTGCCGGTGATTTTTTCTGAGCATTTTCATGTGCTGTGAAGAAGGGCCATTGCCCGAAACGTTGCCCATTATATAGCTAAGGGTACACGCAGTGTTATTGACGAATGTGTTTAATTGTGTTGCTATCGTGCTTATGCGCCACTGCCAACGCGGCAGCGTTACCCGATAACAGCTTTAGGAGGCTGGCATCGCCGCGTTTTAGAGAGAGACAAAGGTGAGGGGGATGGGGGAGTAGGGGGTGGTGGAGGAGAGGACAAGGCGAGACCCCCCCCCCCTCCGTTCACGCGGCGCAAATTAAATTAGCGACACTGGGGGGGGGGGGGGGTGTCGAGGGCTTCTGCCGCATGACACGTGACGCACGAGGCCCTGGTGAGGTCCGCGTGTTTAGAATTCACTGCGGCTCCTCCGCTCGTTTAAAGTGACCTCGAGAGTTTCTTTATTAGGGAAATGAGCAAGACTACGCCGTGAGGACGTCCCACACAGACACGCGGCCAGGGCACAGCCTCACCCACCCGTTCGCTCACCCGCTCGCGCGCGCCGCCCACACCACGTGGGGGTCATTGTGATCCCGTAGCCAGGGCACACGGGACGAGTCCTCGGGTGGACGATGGAATGAGACGGTGACGATGAATGCTGATTATTTTTTTGTCTGATCGAGGATGGGATGTACAGTGTGCATGTTGAACTTCTTTCGCACCTCCGATTAGCATGGTTGGCTACGTACGGTGCGAAGTTATTTCAACGTATATATAGATGCACCCACCATACGTAGCCAACCGTGCTAATCGGATGTGTGAATGATCTATGAACTCTCTCCCATCATCATCATTTCTCTTCCCTAAGCGGGTGCATGTTTATCGCATTGGAGGCTTCCTTGTCAATGCAGGTGGTGGGTGGTGGCGGAACGGACACAGCCCCCCCTCTCTCCCTCTTCTCGGGCTCCGGGAGCGAGGGTGGGGGATTGTGTCGCGACTCTCCCTTAGGGGTGCACGAAGCACTGAGCCCCATTCCCATTCCAGGGGACCACATCCACATTAACTCGCCAGGGTGCAACTCTCGTGGTTCGACTCACCAGAGTTCAATTCACGTGGCCCTACTCACGTGACGCTCCTCACCTGGGGGGGGGGGGGTCGTAAAGGTGTGATCATGAGCTCACGACAATTAGAGAATTAGAGGCTTCGCACCTGGAGCCGGTTCAGAGCCCCTCAATTATCGGGGTCTATATCCTCCTCCCACCCCCGGGCCAAGCAGGCGTGAGGAACCCCGGAGCCGGTAATTTATTGCTTGTGTCAAGTGTTTACAGGCCAAAAGTCCACAGAACGTTAAGCGGCCAACCAAAAGCAGAACTATCAGTTGTAATAGGTAAGTCTTTTAAAAAAAAGTGTCTCCGCGTTGGTCCACCGTATTTCTTGAATCCCCACACGTCAACAGATTGGTTCGCCTCCTGCACTCGCCCTCTTTGTCCCTGTTAGACCAAAAACCCAGAGCTTACTTTTTTTGTGGCGCCTCTTGCTCTTACATATGTTGAACTTCTTTTGCACCGTACGTAACCGATCATGCTAATCAGAGGTGCGGAGGAAGGACAACAAACTAAACACATTATATCTTAGCATGGTGTTTTTACGACCATTAAATACCTCGTTTGTTAGTTGTGCAATATTCATCAAGGACTCTGTAATCCGTTCGCTGCAATGTTAATGTTTTATTGAGGGACTGTGTGTTGCCTTGGTGTGGCCTGGGACTGTCTTTGCTGTAGCTTTGCTAGCTTGCCTTCGCTTGGGAATTGGTGTACTTAAGCAATTTGAACATAAAATTGCTTACCATTCCGAAACTTTGCATTCCTATCTTTTTGTAATGTTTGCTGTTGTTACATTCTGATCCGCCCCTACTGGACATCTGTGAAAACGAGCTTCATGGCTCATCGGATTTCCACCAGGATGAAGACAGATTCTGATATTGCTGCTTGCGATTGTGCAGACGCGCCATGCATGGATCTCTCTGTAAAATATCTGGGAAACTTGCTAAACTGGGTCGTCCGTGTAACAAAGCAACATATTTATACAGCGTCTTATTCCAAGGCGTTTAACAAACTCAACACTCAAACTATATGGGCGTGGGTATGGGGGGAGGGAAGGTGTGAGTCGACGATGGGGGTGAGGGTGGTGGAGGTAATGGGGAGCGGTGGCGTAGCGGTTAGCTCACTGCGCTACGAGTTACATTCCCGCTCACGGCCAACACCAGTGACGATTATCTGAAGCGGGCACGGGCCTCCCCTAGGTCGACTCAGTCTCAAATGAGTACCTGGTGCGGTGTGTAAACATCGCCACTGGGGAGACAAAGGTGGTCGGACGTGGTGCTGGCCACCCACCCCCCTAGTATGCTGTGCGGGCCTTCATAGGTGCTGGCAGATAACGCTTGTACCAAAACGTCTGTTAAGGTTATATGGGGGGATCTTTGTCTAGGTGGTGGTGGGCTTGAGTTTTGCCCCCCCCCCCCCCCCGCGGTTCTAATCAGGGCGCGCTAATGGGGCTCGCTCGCCCCGCGGGGAGCAACACTGAGATGAGCGCCGCGTGACGCCCCCAGCCTCATCTCAGATCGCTTACAGACGCCGCCCTCCCTGCTGCCCCCCCCCAACTCCCTGCTGGGCGCCCCCCCCCCCCTCCAGCAAGGGAGACGCGGGGGGCCCACTTACATTAATCTTCGCATCATTAGCATATTAATTATCGTCCGTGTGTCTGTTCACCATTGCGACAAACACAGATGATGGTGGTGGCATCATCATCACCACGACCATCCTCATCACAACCACCACCATCATCACCACGAGCATCACCACGATGTTTATAGCTCGTGTCTATCGATGAGCGACCATCCCCTTGGTGTTGTTCACTCCAAAGAGGGATCTCCACGCCATACACAGCTGACCTTCAAGGGAAGACGGTGGGAGGAGAGAGGGGGGGGGGGGCTGATAGCGCCCCCTCCCCGACCAGGTGAAAGGAGTGGGACACCCCCCCCCCCCCCGACTCGCGGCCCGTGCCCCCACCCGCACCTCGGGGCGATACTATCGCGCGCGGCGGGCACGTGTTCTCCACGCCGCCAACATCAATCACCAATCAATCAGACATTGAGACATTCTCTTAGCGGAGCGGTGGCTGTGCGAGATGGTGGGGGAACGGGGCGGGGGGGGGACGAGATGGGGGGGGGGGGCGAGTCCCCACGGTTCAGGATCCGGGTCAAACACTAAAGTCAATCGGTCACGCAGGGCGACCGTGGGTGGTGTCGAAGACGTGGGTGAGAAAGGCGAGGGTGGAGCACCGCGGACACGGGGGATGCGCGGGAGACACGGGGGGGGGGGGGGGGGACAAAGGAGACGGCAGGCAAGGGACGCGGGGGACATGGACGGGACAGGAGGCACTGTCCCAAAAAGGGGCTTCAGGTGCGGCGAGTGTGTCTATTACATACAATAATAATAAGTCCTCACTGACTCTCAACCTTTTTTTGTATTCATCAAGAACCCATTTGCTATTTTTTTTAAAGAGCCCACTTGCTGTACTGCCATCTCCTCGTCGACTCGCCGCCCTAGCGGGTTTGGGGAGTCGAACGCATCATGATGATCCCCGCGTGAGCCACCAACCCCACGTGAGGCGACGCGGTGCGTTCAAAGCAGCGTGACCACTGTGTTGTGAATGGAGGCGTGGATCCATGACGTTACAATCAAACGAATCAACAGAGTGATGGGCACGCCAATGAAATATGAGCTTATCAGTCAAACAATATGTGCATGCAATGCGCCGTCTTCTGGGACTGAAACATTTCGGAAGCAAAATTCGACATTGAGCACCTCCGAATAGCGCGATTGGCTACGTACGGTGCGAAAGAAGTTCAACATACAGACATTCGGTGTCAGGCGTTGCTTGAACCATTGCTACCAGATGTTCACAGGCAAACGTGAGTGGGCCTTGGCCACGAGGCCTCGCGGCCAGAAAGGAAGATTATCCATATATTTTTTAGGTTAGATCGCGTAAATATAAATGCGTCGTTAAACCCGCCACCACCCGACACAGCCAATTAGTAAGGTTTGTCACGTATACAGAACATGCCAATTCGGTACTAGTACAGCACACCGGTGTGTCGGAGAGCAAATCCACAACATTGACAATCTGAGTCGGTGACAAACGTGAATTTGCTCTCCAACACACCGGTGTGCAAGTAACGAATTGGCATGTTCTGTGTACGTGACAAACCTTACTAATTGGCTGTGTCGGGTGGTGGCGGGTTTAATGACACATTTATATTTACGCGATCTAACCCTCCAAAAACCCCCTATATTATGGATGTTATTGGTCGCGAAAGCCTCTTCCTCCTACTACTACTACGTGTTAAAATGACGATCAAGGCCGACGGTCAAAAATAATAACAAAGCGGCAGCCAAGGCACAGAGCGCGACGTTCGAGAAGACTTCCACCGCGGGAGATGGAGCGATGATGACAATCAGCTCCTCGTGCGTGGGGCAGGTGCCGTGTGGATCTCGACATCGCAGGATCGTGAGAAGTGGCGGCGGTGGCGTGGGGAGGGAGGCCTTCATCCAGCAGTGGATGGACCCTGACTGCTGGTGATGTTCATTAAGGGTATTGATATTGTAATGTTGGTACCGTATCTGGACATGAAGTCGTGTCCATGTGGATATCTCTCAGTGAGCAATGCACCACTTTGCACCAGAGACCGACGCTGGGATGCGAGGTGACAGAACCACTGTGCAAAGTCGCTGTAACAAATCTCGTCATTCGATTGAGTAACCCCACGACCGGAAAAAAAGGAGCGACTTCATGAATCAACAAACGAATGAATTCCCTCGTCCGCATCTCCCTGCTCCCCCACCGTTGTGAGTGCGAGTGGCAGCCTGCCAATCACACTCAGCTCACAAGGGGGCGCGCGTGCAGCACTCTGCACCGCCCTGCACTGCACCTCTCTGCTACCGTACTGCGCTGCACGGTACCCCCTGCACCGATCTGCAGTACTCTGCACCGCCCTGCAGCACTCTGCAACCGCCCTGCATTGCACCACCATACACTGCACCGCCCTGTACTACTCTGCACAGTCCTGCAAGGCCCTGCATTGTAGCACCCTATACAGCCCAACGCTGCGCAATTGTGCATCGTCCTGCGCTGCACAGCTCTGCACCGCCCTGCGTTGCACTACCCTTCATTGCATCACTCTGCACCAGCCTACACAGCATCACACTGCACCCCCCTACACAGCATCACTCTGCACAACCTACACTGCATCACTGCATCACTCTGCACCACCCTTCATTGCATCACTCTGCATTACCCTACACAGCATCACACTGCACAACCCTACACAGCACCACACTGCACCCCCCTACACAGCATCACACTGCACAACCCTACACAGCATCACTCTGCACAACCCTACACAGCATCACACTGCACCCCCCTACACAGCACCACACTGCACCCCCATACATAGCATCACTCTGCATCACCCTGCATCACCCTTCATTGCATCACTCTGCATTACCCTACACAGCATCACACTACACAACCCTACACAGCACCACACTGCACCCCCCTACACAGCATCACTCTGCACAACCCTACACAGCATCACTCTGCACAACCCTACACAGCATCACACTGCACGACCCGACACAGCATCACACTGCACCACCCTACACAGCATCACTCTGCATAACCCTACATAGCATCACACTGCACTACCCTACACAACACCATACTGCACCACCCTACACTGCACCGCCCTACACAGCATCACACTGCACCACCCTGCATTGCATCACACTGCACCACCCTACATTGCATCACTCTGCATTACCCTACACTGCGTAACACTGCACCGCACACTGCACCGTCATCCACCGCCCTGCATTGTACCACGCTACATTGCCCTACACTGCTCAACTCTGCATCATCCTGCGCTGCAACGCCCTCCACCACTCTGCAACGCCCTGCGTTGCACTCCCCTTCACTGCATCACCCTACACAGCATCACTCTGCATCACCCTATACAGCATCACTCTGCACCACTCTACACAGCATCACTCTGCACCACTCTACACAGCATCAATCTGCATCACCCTACACAGCACCACACTGCACCGCCCTGCACTGCATCACTCTGCACCACCCTACACTGCATCACACTGCACGGCCCTGCACCGTACCGCCCCATTCTGCACCACAAGGCACCGCCCAACACCAAAATACCCTACTGTGCACTGCACCACTCTACACCGTCATACACTGCACAGCCCCATACGAAAACGCACAACACTGCACCACGCTGCACAGACCAGACTGCGCCGCACCACTCTACACTGATACCCACAACTACACTGCCACCCACCCCACAACTACACCGTTCCACTACACTGCCAACCACCCCACAACTACACCGTTCCGCAACAACACTGCCACCCGCACTGCACCGCCCCACATGTTCCTGCCCTCCAATCTACAGCCAATCACGCACCACTGCCCCCGACTCTAAAACGCACCGCTGGGCACGGAACCCCGCTCCGCCCCCCCATTGGCCGCCGTGCCCGGCTCGCCGTCCAATGAGCATTGGACGGCGAGGCCCGAGCTCGCACGCGACTGGACGCTGCTGGTTGCGACGTCACGTGGCTGGGTTAGAGAGCGCGCGCGCGCACGCTGAAGCGAGGGGCGGGGCTGGAGTGGGGGGGGAGACGAGGTGGTCACGTGACGAGGAGATGGAGGGGAGGGGCCAGCCGGGGCCCACGAGACGAGAGGGAGGAGGAGGTCGACGAGGAGCGAGCGGGGCGAGTCGCGAGTGGGAGCAAAAGAGGAGGTGGTGGTGACGAGGTGGAGGGCGAGTGAGCGAGAAGTGGGGCGAGCCGTGGTTAACAGGCGAGCATAGGAGAGACGAGGAGGAGGAGGTGGTGAGGGAGAAGTGTGACGAGGAAGAGTGGGAGACGAGGTGGGGTAGCGGTCGAGAAGGTTTGACAGGGGAGGAGGCAACGCAGACGGGGGTTTACGAGTGGGTGACGGAGGGAGGATAGAGGTGACGAAGAGGAGGAGGTGGGAGATGATGAGGTGGTAAGGGGGGAGGTGGTGGTGACGTGACGAGGTGACAGGAGGAGCTGACGAGGTGGAGGAAGAGGAGGCCGCGCCTTCTCGTCTCCGTGGCTCCATGGCGGCAGACGACGGCAGCGTCCGGGTCAGCCTGAGGTAATAGCCGCATCGCGTATGTGGTGCTGGGTGTCCGTGGTGCTGGGCGTCCGTGGTGCTGGGCGTCCGTGGTGCTGGGCGTCCGTGGTGCTGGGTGTCCGTGGTGCTGGGTGCATAGACTGTGAAGTTGATGGGTGTCCATGGTGCTGGGTTCATAGGGTATGACGTTGCTGGGTGTTCATGGTGCTGGGTGTCTATGGTGTGAAGTTGATGGGTGTTCATGGTGATGGGTGCATGGAGCGTGACGTTGATGGTTGTCAATTTTGCCGGGTGTCCATGGTGCTGGGTGCATGGAGTGTGAAGTTGATGGGTGTCCATGGTGCTGGGTGTCCATGGTGCTGGGTGCATGGAATGTGAAGTTGATGGGTGCCCATGGTGCTGGGTTCATAGGGTATGACGTTGCTGGGTGTTCATGGTGCTGGGTGTCTATGGTGTGAAGTTGATGGGTGTCCATGGTGCTGGGTGTCCATGATGCTGGGTGTCTATGGTGCTGGGTGTCCATGGTGCCGGGTAGCTTTGGTTGTGAAGTTGATGGGTGCCCATGGTGCTGGGTGTCCATGGTGCTGGGTGCATGGAGAGTGAAGTTGATGGGTGTCCATGTTGCTGGGTGTCCATGTTGCTGGGTGCCCATGGTGCTGGGTGTCCATGGTGCTGGGTGCATAGAGTGTGAAGTTGATGGGTGTCCATGGTGCTGGGTGTCCATGGTGCTGGGTGTCCATGGTGCCGGGTAGCTTTGGGTGTGAAGTTGATGGGTGCCCATGGTGCTGGGTGTCCATGGTGCTGGGTGCATAGAGTGTGAAGTTGATGGGTGCCCATGTTGCTGGGTGTCCATGGTGCTGGGTGTCCATGGTGCCGGGTAGCATAGAGTGTGAAGTTGATGGGTGTCCATGGTGCTGGGTGTCCATGGTGCTGGGTGCATAGAGTGTGAAGTTGATGGGTGTCCATGGTGATGGGTGACCATGGTGGTGGGTGTCCATGGTGCCGGGTAGCATTGGGTGTGAAGTTGATGGGTGTCCATGGTGCTGGGTGTCCATGGTGCTGGGTGTCCATGGTGCTGGGTGTCCATGGTGCTGGGTGTCCATGGTGCTGTGGTGCTCTGGCTCAGAAACCCCACAGTACACCCAGCATGCCGGCCCCTTGGACGCTGCCGCATTGCGCCCTAACCGCTGCCCTTGGCCCCGTGTCGGGGCTCTGGCGGGGCCGGTGAATTATTAATGCCATTCAAGCCGCCGCCGCCACAATGTGGCCGAGAAAGTTTAGTTGGCAGGTGTCACCTTGACTATAACCGGGATATGCACACTAGCGCACGTGTGTTGTACACGCGCGCACACACACAATGTATACACACACACGTGTCGATACGTTGACACTTGCACGCACATGTATTTACACGTGGTTACACAAGTGCGCACACACTCGTTGACATCGTACAAAGACGTGTTGACACGCACACACAAACACGTGTACACATGCGCACACGCCAGAAACCCTGCCGCTTACAGTACATACTGTACACCACACACGCACGCACAGCGTGGCCTATTGTGTACAGTGCGCGTGGTGCAGAGAGCGAATGTTTCCAGGGGCAGCCGTGGTTGTTCATGAGTGCGTGCGCGTGTGTGTTGCTTATTAATGCGCTGCACACAATTGTATGTGTCGTACGTACACTCGCATACGTGTTGTGAGCGTGTTGTGTATACAGTGCGCGCGTGCGTGTGTGTGTTTACACACGCAAATGAACTCGGCCTTAAATGAGTACCTGGGTGGGGGTGCGTTGAACATGGAGAGACAAAGGCGACCAGCCGTGGTGCTGGCCACATTCACCACCTCCCCGACTCGCGTGCCGTGCCGGCCTTTAATAGGTGTTTGCTAACACTAACAGCAAGTTGCTACAAACGGACTGTTAAAAGGGGTTGGTTGGGGTGCCGTCTATGTTTACGCACAACAACGCTTTAATCTCACGGTCACAATAACACCCCGTGTCTGCTGGGGGCCCTTTATACAGTGCGAAGTGGTATAAAGGTCGTCCATCACTCGTGTGGTCAGGAATACACAGACACGCACACGAGTGTACACAGTCTCGTATATACACCAACACGCATTAACATTACGTGTAACCATAGCACTGTATGTGTAATCGATTCCCACTGAGCATACGATGCCGACCGTACTGACCATTCGGACGAGCAGAAAGCACAAATGTGCTCTGAATAAGGACCATTGCCCGAAACGTCTAGTTATAATATAACCCCCGCGCGCCCCTCTCCTTAAGGCGGCACACGCGCACAAGGGAGTGGTATTGACGCACGTGTTGAGTGTTCTGTTAAGATGGCACATTGCTCCATAGGGAGCCCCCCTCTCTGGTTCAGCTCGCGGGGAGGGGGGGGTGAGGCATTACGTCTACCCAGCCTCCTACATAATAAATGCCTTACGGTTTACTGTGCATTGTGTTGTGCCCATTGTGTTTGCTGTACTGTGTTCGCGGGTACAATTAACTCTCCCGAGCCTCGGGGGAAGATAGTGGTGCGTGCGTATGTGTTCTGGAAACACGAGGAGCAGTGGCAGCCGTGCTATACTACGAGCCCAGTGACTGCGAGTTCAATTTCTGCTCACGACCAATCACTGTGGTGAATATTTGAACCGGTGCTGGTCCTTCCCTCCAGCTCGACTCGGCCTCAGTTGAGCATCTGGTGTGACGTGTACACATTGCCACGGGGGAGACAAAGGCGGCCGGGTGTGGTGCTGGCCACCCACCCCCTCGTGTGGCGTGCGTGCCTTCATAGGTGCTAGCTTATATCACTTGCCCCAACAGTCTGTTAAGGCTTTACGTGGCGAGGGGGATCTTTTGTACACCCCTACCCATCATGTGTGCACTACGTCTGTGTATGGATATTATGCATGTCCAGCTACACAGATGTACATGTATCGATGTACGCGATACACTGATGGGTGAGGTAGCTCCCGTGCTGTACCCAGGGGGAGGGGCGTCTTGGGAGAGTTATTTGACCATACTTCACGCTGTACAGTGTACGTGTGTCCGGCCCTTGTGCTATAGAGCAGGGGTCCCCAAGCCACGGACCAGATTCCGGTCCGTGGCCTGTTAGGAACCGGGCCGCACAGCAGCAGGAGGTGAGAGCGGTGAGTCCGCGCGTGGCCTGCCCCCATTATTTTATTTACCACTTCCATCCGCACCTCTTTCCCACACTGCGCACTTGTCTCAGTCACAGTTTTGGTAAGCCCACAAGCTATACTCCCTAGTAGCCAACATGAGTAAAAAACAAACGTCGCTGGAGAGCCTCTTTGAAAAGGGGGAAAGACCCAATGATGAAATGATGAACCCCCCCCCCCGGTCCGTGAAAAAATTGTCTTCGACGAAACCGGTTCCTGGTGCCAAAAAGGTTGGGGACCGCTTCAGAGTTTCTCTGCACGTGGGGGGTGCTTCGTTGCAGGGGAATCAGCGGTTGTGGTCCTCTCGACGCCACCACACAGACGCCCACGCTAGCTTCCTGGCCGCGTGGCGGCGGTGATTAAGACTCGGCATTAAACTGCACTCCTCTAATTCCTCGCTCTTCATTGGCCGTGTGAAATCATCATCGCCAGGTCTTTTGCTCGAACGCGTTGGGGGTGGAGTTGGGGCTTTTCACGAGGGACTTTAACGCGAGCGACGTCATAACACCAGAGGCCTCCAGTTCCAGGTGGATTTCAGAATAGGCTGAGATGCAGCGATGGGCGGGGGGTTGGTGGGGAGAGGGTAGATAAGGGTGTTTCAGGCAACGATAGCAAAGAGTCTCACCACCGCACGTGAAACGCCACACGTGAGCACGTGCCGCGTTTCACTTCCTCCTGCGTACAGGCGGCCGGGTGGCTCAAGGGGTCAGAGCGCTGCAGGGTCGCCACCGCCGAGATGCTGGGTTCTCGGGTGCAGCGAGCCGGTGGACTCGGCCTCAGTCGTCAGTGACTCGCATGGAGAACTGTAGGCTCGCACAAGAGACTCCGAGACTCGCGTAGACCAAGCTGGGATCAAACCGGGTTCTCCGAGTGTCGTAAGTTGATGGTCTCAGCCCAAGCACCAGTGACTTACACAGAGACCCATGGACTCGCATAGAGACCCAAAGAATCAAACCGGTTCTCGAGATTAATGAGTTGATGCTCTTTGCCCAGACACCAATTGACTGCACTGAAAGTAAAACCCATTGCAAGAAATGCTATGGATACAGCGAACACGTAGGCTTTGGTTCATCAGCTTAATTGCTCTGAGACTGGAGCTTATTGTTTTGATTGTCACGTGATGAACGTTAATCGTCGGTGAAAGGACGTATGGTGGGGGAAGGTCTTGAAGCCATCTCGGAGGTGTCCTCTAACGTGCAGCGTTCTCTAAACACAACGCGCGCGTGGTGTTGATCTGTGAGATACCTGACTGGGTTCGTTGTATCGTGGCGTGACGCCGGTTGCCCAGTCACAATGGTGTTGCGGAAAAAAAAGTCGAAAATATGTTCCTATAAAATGCCCTCGCGTGTCAAGTGCCGCTCTCGGAACAAAAACCATGAGCTCATGGCCATCCGTCCGCACTCGAGGTGCAGAGACGGACAACTCGTGAGAACGGGCAGATTAAGGTTGTAACGCAACCATCTGAAATGCTTGCACATCAAGGGCAATTTCAACATGTGCAGGCTATTAATTAGGCTCAGTTGGTTTTGATTAAACTGAGCCTTTAATTAGGTTAGAGCTGGTGGAGTGCGAATTACCTGTGTGTTACAGAGATTTGGGGCACGCGTTGCGCGTTTTGAGTATTCTCTCCGGCTAGGGAACTGTGTTGGGTTTTTTTTTGTCGCTCATCGTGACGCAGCGTGCGTTGAAAGGGGCCCGGTGACGGACGCTTCTGTGTGTGCGTGGTGGTTGATCAATATCCTAACTCTTGATTCACAATTGCGTTTTGGGGTCAGATCGCATAAGTAAAATGTGCGTCATAAATGTCTGTCCACTGCCTGCCGATGCTGGCT